TGTAGTGATGATGGATGGTGTTTTATGTAGTGATGATGGATGGTGTTATATGTAGTGATGGTGGATGGTGTTATTATGTAGTGATGATGGGTGGTGTTATATGTAGTGATGATGGATGGTGGAATGCAGTGATTATACCTGGTGTTATATGTAGTGATGATGGATGGTGTTATATGTAGTGATGATGGATGGTGGTAAGTACAGTGATGATGGATGGTGTTATATGTTGTGGTGTCATTCAGTTAACTAATGTGGACAACCCTGCCGTGACACCACAAAACACCACACCACACCACACCACACCACACCACACCACACCCTCAAATACATGTAGTAAGGTCCCAGACGAGATATACGAGTGTTACTGGCGCTGTTATCAAGAATAATGTAGCCTGTTTTACGAGACTAATTTAATTTTTAGACCACATAATTACCTCTGAGTGTGATGGCGGTAAATGGGAAACCTTGGCCCATGAAACTAACTCAGACGAGGGCTAGTTGTTGAATATACGACAAAAAATTATGGGGGTTAGTTATATCTGTTTGTCCACATTGTTCAATAGTGCGATGAATTTACACACACACACACACACACACACACACACACACACACACACACACACACACACACACACAGCTGACAATGAAGAAATAAATGTATACGTTTTAAGAAAAGAAACCGAGGGAAGCAAATGTTTCAGCTTACTGGGCAGCGTCATGGTGAGGGCGACAAAATTCTCCAAGATTTTTCCAGCGCGTTTACTCAGGAGGGCCGGAGAAAATTTACTTTCCACTTAACCCACACTGAGGTCGTGAGCCTGGGAACGCCCTCTGGGGATAATATGTTTATTATTATTATTTTTTTCTTTTTGAGTCAACAATAACAATATTACCAACAATAATAATATCAACTGCATGTTTGGTAGGGGCATGGTGTGTGTGTGTGTGTGTGTGTGTGTGTGTGTGTGTGTGTATTATCTAATCATAAACATCATTCAGAACAAAGTCCAGGGCAGTAGAGTGTAATTTATTATATTTATATAAGTTAAGAATTGTAACTTGAACTCGACTGATGGAAGTATAAACAATCTGATATTATGACACACACACACACACACACACACACACACACACACACACACACACACACACACACACACACACAGAAATATACAAAAATGCTTCCAGTTATATAAGTACATACATTTCCTCTTCCAAACTTTGTTACTGTTGTTGTTGTAAATTTAAAAAAAAATGTGTTTCATGTAGTGTTCACAAACTGTCGACCTCAAAACACGTTAAATGAAAATCTATCTCTTGCGTCTCTTCATGATCGCTGCTGTGGAAAATCTCTGGAAATTATCTTAAGTCTTCACAGTGATGACTCCACCGTACACAACACTGCTGACTTGGCTAATATCTTAAACCTGGATCGAGACTCGGAAACACACACACACTGAATCTTAATTTTTATACTAGGTTAGGTTTAGGTTAGGTTAGGTCAGGTTAGGTCAGGTCAGGTCAGGTCCTGGATACACTTAACCTAACCACACATATCTGGCGTTCGAGGAAGTTCAGTATTCGAATTAAAAGAACTGTAGGATTTATTAAACTAGACCCATCTTTTTTTAATGTTCCGTCCATAATAAATATTAATTATCTCAATAATTATGAACACCAACTTTAGTTTGAATCAGTTCACTGCTTCTGGTGATGAGTTATTATAAATGGTTTTCTACGCCGGCAGCCAACACGATTGATCACTGTAAAATTAATAATAAGGTAATTGACCGTGTAATTATTAATATAAATATTTAGTAAAATTAATTAAAAATCAGCCTAGTGGTTCAGAGGAGGGTGTATGATGATTGATGGGTGACATGGTGGATGATATTGGATGGGTGACACGGGATGAATGATACATGATGTATGACACGGGATGGATGACATGTGATAGATGACAAATGATTGTTGACACATAATGGATGACACTTAATAGGTGACACGTGATGGATGAGACATGGTGGATGACTGAAGGTCTCTATTATAGGACCAGATATTACACCGTTCTCCTGGGTGTATTAAGACTGTACATTTGCTATTGAAGATTATATTAGGTTGAGGGTTTTTTGCTTAAGTCGGTCACTCCAAATATTCTCACACGTATTAATTGCCTGGCTAATAAACTATTATGGTTGCTTTATATCACCTCTACACACTTTGGAAGCCCTTCAGCAGTACCCGGGGAGGGGGGAGGGGATAGGCCGCTGCACTGATAATGATGGCGGCGGTGCAGATTTTTTTCATAATAGCTTTTGCGAACTCTTTCTCAGATACAACTATTGTCTCTTTTATTACTGAACCAGACAACCACTGGCAGCCTCCGTCACACTGGTGCTCGCTGGCCACCCATCACCACTTAACTCGCCATTATCAACACTCTCTCCTGAGTTATAATAGATTATTGTGTTAGGGTGCAGTACCTGCCGCTACACGGGACACCACCGTCTCCCTAATGCCAAAAGTTTCGCTCCAGTCTTCTTAATTTTATTGTTTTGCTCTAAGTTCTTTTAACTTTCAGAGATTATTTTACTGTGTGTGTGTGTTACACACACACACACACACACACACACACACACATATATATATATATATATATATATATATATATATATATATATATATATATATATATATATATATATATATATATATATATATATATATATAAGAAGTAGTATGTAGGTAAGTGGGAGTGCCAGAGTGCCAGCTCCGGCAGGCTGCTCACACCCAACAAAGGGATCTTTGAGGCGTGAAGGCCAGAGAGGCGTCCGGTGTGTCGGGCGATATTTCTGATCTCGGCAAGTTATCTAACCCCGGCCAGTACTGACCCAGGCAGCTGCTACTACAGTCTCTCCTCGCACACTAACTGATGCTAACCTAACCTAACCTTACCTTACCTTACCTTGCTTTGCCTTACCTTATCTTACCTCACCTTACCTTACCTATTTTAGGTATAATTTGCATGTGTTAGGATGATAAAAGATGGTTTAAATAAAACTGAGCAAGTTTTACCTTGTAAGAATAAAAAGCTATTCCTATACAGTATTCCTATTTGGCAGAACCATCAGTTGTTTTTTAAAGCTTTATTAGCTATTATCCCTATTTAGTGTGACACACACACACACACACACACACACACACAGGAGAGGGCAAAGATTATCTCCCCTAACTACTCGGTGTTATCGTCTCCTTGTGCCAGCTCTGTTGTGTATGCTGTTGAAGGTTTAGTTTTGAGTTAAGCTTTATAGCGAAGTATTTAAGAACATAAGAACATATGAATGGAGGAAACTGCAGCATTTCCTCATTAATTCCCAAATTCTTATATTTTCTGAATATATTTTGAGGTTAAATTAGAACACTGGTAAAATCTTAGGTTTTTTATTATGAATTCATGCATGCAAGCGCACACACACACACACACACGCGCGCGCGCGTGTGTGTGTGTGTGTGTGTGTGTGTGTGTGTGGGCGCGCGTTACATGAAAGGACACACCGAACTGTTCACTAATGATAGGTGGGGTATGATCGAGGCCAGCCAGGGCATCAGCCGGGTGAGTCTGGCGTCAGTGTTTCATTCTGGCTCTTGTGTCAACCTTTAGTGAGTGTCATATAATGCCTGTATGACACAGTACAGTGGCATTGTCATATCATGTCTGGCCGACACAGTGTGGTGGCTGGCAGCCAACAATATGAAATAAATGCTAATAACCTCTCGCGACCTAAAGTGTGTGTTTAACATTTTCGACGTTTTAAAATTAGTTTCAAAAGGCCGCCCACAACAGCCACAAAAACTAATTACGTTCTTCATTTCTAAGTATAGGTAATTAACAAACAGTACAAGGTTCCTATAAAGGGATGACTGTTTCTCTGACAGCTTTAAGACGCTGACATATTTACCTTACGTTGACCATATGTGAACAGCTTCCATAACACACACCAAAGACACGCTGTAATTTACGGAGATGAAAGAGAATTTATGTTATTATATATATTATAACTATACCTGCGAGTCTGTGAAAATAAATATTACTTCTCTTACACCATATCTTATAAAGTTTCACCTCTGTTGATGTTAGATGAATCGTGTTATTTTTTTTTTTACTGTTAGTTGATATACAGCAGTACCCTGGAGGTGTTGTGACGGCTTCATCATAAAACTATTTCCAGTGTATATAATTAATGCTGCAATTTTACCCTGGAGGACACTGTTAATAAGAGCTTACACATAAACATACCGGTCATCATGAAACCGATCTCTTATTAACTGACGGTGAACGATTCATTTTATATTAATAATTATAAACATGATATCGTAGATGTCCTGGCACAACATTTTACACTAATTGCTGATGACAATACAGAAAACCTACATTGTGTCACGTGTCACAGACGGGGCCATGTTATCCACAGGTGACCATTGTCCCTGTAGTGTTCATCCTAGACTTGTGTGGTCGTTCTCCCACAACAACGTTAAAAACACAAAGCTGCTTTACATGTCTCTCGGAATAAATCTTCTTAAATAACTTTTTGACTTCGCTGTTTACATAAGGGGAACCATCTCTGTTCTGGATCACTGTCGTTAAACAAGATTTGCCAGTTTTCATATTCCATCCAAAACTAAACTGAGACGCTAAAACTTCCCTCTGTGTGGAATAGCTTACCCGTGCGGCTGGTCAAATCACCAAATATAAATACTGGCAAGAGATCACAATCCTGAAGAAGCGTTTGGCGAATAAAAATGTCACAAACGAATGCAAAGCTGTGAATATATGTTGTATATCCCGAGTCTGCTCAACATGGTACAGAGACAAAAGGTTTAAGACCCGTAGACTATATATACTGTCCTCAACCCTCCTTTATGAACAGACATAAGTAATACAAATAAGGTGATTAAACCTTACCTGTATTTATTGTGGTGTCAATACATTAATTACTTACCTGATCAATTAGTGGATCACTTTCACCTGTTCTCTAACCTCTACGTCTGCCCACACGCTCCTCTTGTAATGATATTTCTGAAATGAACCAAGAAATAATTCCTTAGTACTCGCGTTCCTTTGTTTACTCTTATCGCTGTTGAAGTAATACTATATAAAAAAATATCTTGATTCTTTATGTTATTTATACCACCAGAATCCTCTAGCATTTTCCATGATTAAAAAAAGTGTTCGTAAATCAGTACTGCTCTCCTCACTACACCTCCGAGGGGTCATTACACTTGATAATTATTATAGGAAATACTCATCATTAATTAACCCCCGCCCGTCCCTCCCCTATCTGTTCCCGTTGTTATATAGCCACGAGATATGTGTGATTAGAATTCATTATCGTAGGTGTAAGTTATCTTGTTCCTTCCTCACCTGTGCTAAAGACTGTTTATTACAACAGGACGGTGGAGAAACATTATACCGGTACACTAGTGATTGGTTTTCAACAGCAGAAATGTAGGTCCCTCCATTCTGATAGTTCTCCTCCTTCTATTCCTCCTCCTGATCTTCCTCCTCCTCCACCTCTTCTTCCTCCTCCACCTCTTCCTCCTTCCCCATACTCCTTCAAAAGTACTTCTAAAGCCTTTCTCATAATCCATTCATTTAGTCAAATTTCATTTCATACAAGTGTTATTTTCTTGTTTATATCTGGTTATTTTAATACCATATACACATTTCATATTTATATCCTCTATGGCACGTATAAATCACATCTGAAACGAACCATGAAGCCAATAAGGGTAAAACTGATTCACAGGGTCCTGGGGTTCTTCCAAAAACTAGCTTCGAGGTTGTATAAATATGCAATTTGGCTTCTATCTAAAAATTGACTGTACCATCACTCTTCCTCTTTCGTTTATTCCATTTGGTGATTTCTATGCATGTTGTCATCTATACGAGTTGTTCCCTTTGTCTCACTCCTAGTCTGTGTTAAGAGACTTTGTTAGTTAACCGTTCAGTGCGTCGTGGTTCTCTTGTCCTTCATTAGTATGCATTGGTAGGTGTCATCTTGTTCCTATGGCATAATACACCAAATATTCTTATGTGTGTGTGTGTGTGTGTGTGTGTGTGTGTGTGTGTGTGTGTGTGTGTGTGTCACTCAATAGGGATCAGAATAATGTTTTATTTTGTTTTTCATAATATAATGAAAATAAATTATGATCCAATTTGTTCTCTTGCATTGACGACATCGTCTATACTCTCACAGAATAGCCAAACTATACCTGTATTAGATTAGATTAGGATAGGTTAGGTTAGGTTAGGTTAGGTTAGGTTAGGTTAGGTTAGGTTAAGGTAGGTTAGATTAGGTTAGGTTAGATTGAAATATTATTGCCGCCATTCGTTCACAAATCTCATTTAAACAAACTTTGGACAGGAAAGACGCAAGTGTAAACATATTGTATACACTGAGACCACACCTGCATGTCTCTCGTGTGCAGGAGGCGAGTGTAACACCAGTAAAACTATTCATTTTGGATATGTGAAATAACCACTTCCACCGTTCACTAAAATGAGATTGTGGGTTACGAATCGGAGTTCATTGTGGCATCAGTGGTCAGGAAACAGTGAGGTATGGTGACTATTAAGAGATAGCAAGGGGTGTGATTTAAAGCCGTAAAATGGAGACTTTACATCAGGAAGAGTGAATGGATAAAAAATAAGAGTACCTGTGTTTACCTTTGGTTTCGGCTACCTTGTTGTATATGAGGAGGAGGAGAAGGGGAGAAGGAGGGAGAGGAGGAGCAGGAGGAGAGGAAATGGGAAAGGAGGAGGAGGAGGAGGCTCATAATGCATAAATAATAAATATTAAATAAACAGGTTGGAGTAAGTAAATATTAAACACTTGACGAGCTAAGATAAGACGCTATCGTAGAAGGAAATAAACTCATCTACAGGAGAAAGTTATGTCGATGAAATAAATCAGACGATAAACTACAATACTGTGATGGTGCTGAGAGAGAGAGAGGGAAAACATCTTGAGAGGAGGAACAAATACCACGTATCAGTCGCTCCTTGTCCTTCGTGGGAACATGATTCCTCCTGAAGGTGGATATACGCATTTTTTCCTGAAGGTTAGGAGGAAGGGAGGGGGATGGGGAAGGGGGGGGGGTATTACGCTTCCGGGAACTCGAGAGAATCTGATAATTAACCAGATCCGTTGTGGCTAAAGCAGAGGATTCAGGATATTCGGGGATATATCGTGTGTTTGAACTAAAAGGAAAGTATCCATGCGGGTGTTAAGGCAGCGAGAGAGGTGAGTAAATATGGTGGCAGCAGAGGTGGAGTTTATGATTGAAAAACACAAATAACAACAAGAATTCGTCTAAGAATGGAAATCCGAGAAGAGGAGGAGAAGGAGGAAGGAAGGGAAGGTAGGAAGGGGAGGAAGGAAGGGGAGGAAGGAAGAGGAGGTAGGAAGGTGAACGAAGGAAGGGGAGAGAAGAGGAAGTTAACACAAAGGAAGTGAAACAGCAAAAAAAAAAACTCACTACATATACTACAAGCAACAGTGACAGTAATAATTGTTTCGTGGCATAAAATTAAATAGAGTGAATGGACGTTAAGCTCGCGTAAACACTCAGCTTAATGTGGTAGTGAATGTGATGTATTAACGTGAATGTGGAAGCCTTCTTGTTCATTAGGTTAAACTGAATGTAACTTGTGGATATTTAGGAACATGTTTGCCTTTATACTCTTGATCTCATTCTAATCCAAACCTAACCTAACCTAATCCTAATCTAACCTAACCTAACATAATCCTAACCTAACCTAACCTAACCTAACCTAACCTAACCTACCCCCCCCTTAGAAAATGTGGGTTTAATAATTTTTGACAGGTATGAACTTTCTTCTTTTCATAAGGGTTCAGGGTTTGAGGGTTCGGTGGGTCAAAGGTTCGTATACCGGGGTTCGGTCGAGGCTTCTATATATCTCTCCTCCTACTCAGACTAGATAGTGTTGACACTTCGGCGGCGACTCTGACCAGCGTTACTATAGACTTAACCACAATTTTTATTCCAACCACAATTTCATTCCTCTTCTCGTCACTTGTCAGGTAGAGGCTGAACACAAATGAACTGCCAAAACACAATAAATACTTCATGTTTGTGGCGTGATCTAAGCAATGGGTCGCAAACGTCTTAACATTAACGGGCAAACTACGATCTAAAATCAGCGAGGAAAAAAAAAAAAAAGATTGTCAGTTTGGACAGAATTAGGATTGTTTTTTTTTTGCCATTGGATTTATTTTACTTCTTCATCTTCATAGGCTTCAAAGATGCTTCTAAATATATATCATAATTTATAGTTTATTTCTTGGGTCAGTTTATATTTCTTGGTAGGTTGAGATGGTGAAGGAAACTAGGCTGCTATCTTCGTTCTGTGTGCGTGTGGTTGAATAAATTATCTCAATCTGTTTTATCGATTATGATGATTCCTGCTACAAATTGGATGTTGGATATCGAGAAAAAAATTCTCATGAATTTTGGAAAGGGTGACCCAAAGATTGCATTTACAGGTGTGTGTGTGTGTGTGTGTGTGTGTTAACAAAATGCTATCTATGTATACGTAATGAGCACACGGCCAAAAGCTGGTGAGTAAACACGATAACATCCTGGTGACTGTTGACATGCCGCTTCCCAGAGGACAGTCCATCTCCACTGACACTGTAATCAACGCTAGAGGTACACTGTCAGAAACCAGTATCTTCCCAGCCTTGGTCGGTGACTGAATAAACCTGGAGAATTATACTGAAGGCGTAACCGTGACTACATCTGGTCAGTTGGTACACCTGACTGGATACAAGCTTCGAGTTGTTCAGGGAATGATGGCTCGAATAGTGGACTTGTTATTGTTGTTGTGGAATACTGATAATTGCCTAACTTCTCTCTATATATGTTTTTAAGCTTCTGACTGGCCAGAGGCGTTCATGTAGGTCATCATATTAAATATACGTGAATAGTGTCACAGAAAACCTGGACTACTGTAACCTAAGGCTTAAAAATCTTTGTTTTCGTTTTAAATGGAAGGGTTGGGTGATATTATGATATATTCTGAAAATAATGTAAATGTCAACATTAGTTCCAAAGAAAAACAAATAATCTAAAGTTACTTAAAACAACAGTAACGTATTAAACTATACAGATGAGAGGAAAACAAACATTATAGTAATAAGTGTAAGTAATTAATAACTTAATACACCCTGAAACTAAATACATATATTCCTATTTTCTTTGTCTATTATATTATATCGTCACTGTAGTATATATCCATAATACATATATAAACACCTATAGTAAATATAAAAGTGTGAATTGGTGTCCGATTTTTTTTTCCGCGCTGGTCAAGCCCAGACCGAGGGCCAGCTAGGCCCCCGGAGCTTGACCAGCACGTTCGTGTTAGTATTATCATCTAGACTTAATTATATGTTATAAAGTCACTTCTGAGTATTTCAATGTTCTTTTTGATACTATTTACTTATTGTAACCTGAATGTTAATAAATAAATGGCTTAAGGAACACGAAAAAGAACCAAATCAAAATGGAATTCCACAGAATCGTGCTTCGGATGGCTCAACTTTTCCGCGATGTAATCACCAAAACTTGGGAAGATAATTTTTCTAAGTCTGTACAAGGAAAGTTGGATTAATGTGTTTACTTTAGTTTTGTAACATTACTTAACTGTGGCGCGAGATGCTGCCTGAAGTCACACAAATCTCGACCTAACCTGTGTGTTTCCTCCCGATAGCTAGAGTAGGTGTCCGGTCCTAACCTAACCTAACCTCCCTACAGCTAAAGTAGGTGTTCGGTCTCAACCTCACCTAATCTAACCTAACCTAACCTCCCTATAGCTAGACTAGGTGTCCGGTCTCAACCTAACCTAACCTAACCTAACCTAACCTCCCTATAGCTAGACTAGGTGTCCGGTCTCAACCTAACCTAACCTAACCTAACCTAACCTACACAACTTTGAATGTATTGTCAGTATTTTATTTGTTATCGTAATTGTTTTGAAATCTCGTGATCAAT